AAAAAAAAAAAAACAAGAGAAATATTTCTCAACAAGGGAATGGATAAATACATTATAGTATTCTCCTGCTGTGGAATACAACAAAGAAAGAAAAACCAGTGAACTAGGACTGAATACAACAACATAACTATAAATAATCTGAACAAAATGTTGGCCTGGCCAAACTTGGGCACACAGAAGCAGAACTAACCACACAGGACCACTACTATAAGAACCCATTAGGGCTAGGCAGGGTGGCTCTCACCTCTAATCTCAGCATTTTGGGAGGCCAAGGCAGGCAGATCACCTGAGGTCAGGAGTTCAAAAGCCTGGTCAACATGGTGTAACCTCATCTCTACTAAAAATACAAAAATTAGCCAGATGTGGTGGTGCACATCTGTAATCCCAGCTCCTTGGGAGGCTGAGATAGGAGAATTGCTTAAATCCAGGAGGATTTAAGTTTTTCCAGTTTTTTCTATCACAAGCAGTGCTGCGGGGAACATGTCCTCTAGAACACATCTGTGAGAGTCAAGCGTGCATATCTAGAAGTCGACTTGCTCTTCTGAAGCAGTGGAGGCAGGCAGGCCGCAGGCTGGGCAAACCCAGAGGACAGAGGCTGCGGGAGGTGAGCGTCTGAGCCAAGGGGCCCCAGGTTGAATCAGGGATAAAAGCTGGAATGGGCTGTAAGCAGGAATGAGACGTCTGGCATTTTGTAATTTCTGGAGAATTCCTCTTAAATTCCCTTTCCCTTCAGTAAACACGATGAGAAACCACTGCCCGCCATGTGTGTGGTCTCCGTGGCACACAACAGTGGGGGTCACAGCCAGGACAGGGAGAGGGGAGCCCAAGAGCCACCAGCGTCCAGGTGTGGCCGAGCAGAGGTGACAGCCCGCCCTCTACTGGCCTCTTGGCGGAACTGCAACACCGAGGCTCTGAGGCCGAACCCCAGCTTAGAGATGGACACCTCGCACCAAGGAAACGTCGTGGACAACAAGCATGTCGCCTAGCAGCAAACAACATAGCGCCTTTCCCTGTCTGGAAATCTCATTAGAAAGTGGGACGCAGGCAGCTGAAAGCATCTTCTCAGCCAACTAGAAATGTTGCAAATAAATGATTTTTGAAAATGATTGCGAAAACAGAATTGGCAGAAGCATCATCACCACCTCTCCTGCTTGTCTGGTGACTCTCCGTTTGTAAAGCACGTGTCATCTCGTAATACCTGTATGAAGTATTGCTTTCCTCCTTTGCAGAGGAATGCTGTCTGCCGGCATTCCTGTAGGGTACATTGCACACCCACGGTGCTGCATCTTCTCCCAGCTTTTTCTTCCGTCTTGAGACCTCTGTTGCATCCAACCCAAAGGCCGTACAAAATGCACAATAAATGGGGAAGTCTTTGTGACCGTCATTCAGACACAAGCTGGTCCCTGTCACTGTACGCTCAGAACTCCCGAGAGGACGGGAAGCCAAGGTCTCGAGCCACTCACTGCACTCTCAAGGAACCTATGCTAGGAAGACAGAAGGAGGGCGAGGTCTCCTGCATTCATGGATTATTCACATGCGCCTGCACGCGACCCACGCCATTCCTTGCTTTATAGCACTACTGGAGAGTTCATAAAAGAAGCAGGCTTTTCTTCTCAGCAGAGTTGAATGCTTTGAAATCGCAAGATAATAAAGGAAAGACGGGGTAGCGTTGGCTGACTGCAGCTTTTCCTGATACCTGCAAGTTAACCTTTTGACACCAAAGTCACGCTGCCATTTGAATTGACCCAGCCAGGCTGGAGCTAGTGAAACAAGCTCAGTAGCAACTGAAGTAAAGCCCTCTTGTCTTATCCTGGCAGAGGTGGTGAGCCCCTTAGCACCTTGTCAAACACTAAATTTAATCCCGGTTTTATTTTCAAATCACTTTTTAAAAATGCACTAACCATTAAGAGATAGGGGAAAAGGTCCTTTTAAAATGATTTATGATGTGTTAACAGCTAGAGAAAACCCAAACAATGTCTCCATAAAGACTCACGATCACGTTTTTAATTAAGGGCCACAACTTTTAATGGAAGGCATAATATACTCATTCATGGGAGGACACTGGGCTCCTCTGGGTAATTCAGCAGTCAAGCTCAGGGGAGGAATAACCATTTTAGGTTCACACCACAAAGTCTTCTGTTAAAGAAAATAACAATAAAATAAGATCGCTTGAAAACTCTTGAGTTTGGGAATTTTAACTCAGAGAAAGGGCGCATTCTGCTCAATTACAGGGATGCTTGTTCCTGGTTCTGGGCCCACAACAGCCCGCTCAGTGCTCTGAGTGTCTCTGACACCCCCTAGGTCTTAGCAGGTAAGAGGGCTGTGCTCAATGCACCCTGTGTGTGTGTTGCCTGGTAAATTCCTGGTAAATTCCTGCCCGTACCCTGGGGAGGCTCCGCCCCCTGAGAAACACACTGTTACTTATTGTCTCTTTCTCAGACTGGACCCTTAAAAGCTTTTTCATTTAAGACTGAAAGTTAGCAATCTAGGAGGACAGAGTGCTGTGTCCTTTTGTATGACCCCGCAAGGACGTATTAATTGTATCAGGCACCATTTTTTTCTTTTTGAGACAGAGTTTCACTCTTGTTACCCAGGCTGGAGTGTAATGGCTCGATCTCGGCTCACCACAACCTCCACCTCCTGGGTTCAAGCTATTCTCCTGCCTCAGCCTTCCGAGTAGCTGGGACTACAGGCATGCGCCACCATGCCCAGCTAATTTTTGTATTTTTAGTAGAGACGGGGTTTCACCATGTTGACCAGGATGGTCTTGATCTCTTGACCTTGTGATCCACCCGTCTCGGCCTCCCAAAGTGCTGGGATTATAGGCGTGAGCCACCGCGCCCAGCCTCAGGCACCATTTTATCTGTGGCTTGCCTATGCCAGCTTCACTCACTTTGTCCTGGTAACAGTGAAGTAAGAATATGAAGTGAGAGTATCATTATCCCTGTTTACAGATGGAGAAAGCGAATCTTGGAGAGGGTAGGGAATTTGCTCTTGTCATTAAACAGTACAACGGACTACAGGCTGAGGCAGAGTGGGTGGGAGATGGGGTTCAGGATACCCCAAAACATGGCACATTCACATTTGGGAAAACTGCAGAAACAGGAAGATCGCTCTCTCCTTCTCCTGCCCTTCTCCCCCAACCAGGTCCCAGGATCCTCAATCCATGGGTGCCCTTTCTACATCCAGAGGAAAGAAACTTCCTTCTCTCTGAAGACACAGGGCTACAGAGAAGAATCTGACCAAACAGGCCTTGCTAAATTCCCCCAAATTTCTTACAAACTTTTAAAAAATCCAATCACACTTCTCCAGGACAATTCAGTTCTCCATCACACCAAGCATTAAAAATACATGGGTTTGGCCAGGCGCAGTGGTTCATGCTTGTAATCCCAGC